GGAACTAAAAGAAGAACTATCCATATTGCAGCTAGCTCTGGATGTGTGGAAGATGGCCAATACTTGATTTTTGCAAAACCTTCATCAAGTTGTGCAGATTTATTATTATTTATTTGCACCCAACCAATACCCATCTTTGTACTCTGCGTTATATCTTTTCTTGTAGATAAAGAGCTATCTGTATAATATGTTAAAGTTTTGCTTTCTCTTTGAAGGTTTTCATTAAATTGTCTTTGTAAAATTTTGCTGAATGTAGTACTGAAGCCCTGGTTCTTAATCAATTCTATCTCCAATGTATCTATCTGTATCATACTATTTAGATGTTGCTCATGGTTATCAATATTCTCTAGCAGTGATCTTGCCTTTTTTGCAATTCTTGATTCCTTTAAATCTACCAATTTTATATTCTCTTTTTGATATCCTCGTAGTAGTACTCCTGCAATATTGCTTCTTTTAATAGTACGTGTATATATGTTTTCTTTAAAACCTTTGTCTAGATCACAACCTGTACACTGTGTCATTTCTATTTGTTCTGAGTCTTGTTGCATATTTATTTGCCAATGCTCTCCTAATATACTTGCTTTTTTTTAAAAAATTACTTTAACCATGTCTACCTTCTCATTTGGCATTTTATTATCCACACAAATCTACTCCTTTTTTCTTTTATTATTTAATAAAGTAGGAAATATATACTTAATTGTCCAGATTTTGTTGTTCTCCAAACAGAATTCTTTTTTAACGTATTTACTTTGTGTATCCTCAAGGAGCAGATTTTCCAGATGCTCAAACCATTTCAGTTTTCTGCCTTTTCTTGATCTTTTTCTACAAAGCTTAAGCTATGACCATGGAATAAGCTTGTTGCCTTCTTCATTAATTAGCTAACATGTTGTATAAAGGTTAAAGCTTTTGAGAGCTTTTGCAGATTAAATTGCTGATCCAGAAGGAAATTAAGAGGTTGCCCCGGTAGATTCATTGGTAAATATATATATTAAACAATATTAATATATAATATTTATAATTTTATTTTATTTATTTTTATTTATAGGCCTTGGGCAATATTTGCATTCAAAGTATAGTCATTTATTATGTAAAGAACATTTAAAACATATTTATAAAATATGTCAAGTTCATTTTAATCGGCAAGTAATTTATTATTAAAGTTTATTTATAAAAATATATATATTAAATTTATAATTTATTATAGCAATATTTGAAATAAAACTATTTCTAATGAAATAAAAGAATTAATGTATTCTTTTACTAAATTAAATACACAAGAAGAAATATTGACTATATTAGAAAAAATCAAGAAATCTAATGAATTGGGTATAGCATATTTTATTATTTATTATTATATTATTTTTAAAACAATTTATATGTATAATATTTTGATTTAAATTTATAAATAGAGTGGGTTAAGGATAAATATAAGCCATGGATATTAGCTGGACTTTCATATGCATTTACTAAAATGAATACCAATATCTGGAATTAAACTCCATTTAACACTAATGTTAGTGAATCGACACATGCTAATATTAACCAAGATGGCTGATTATTATCTTTATTAGCAGCAATATTTCGGTACTGTATATATTTTAAAATACTAAAATACATATTATTATTATATAGTATATATTAAAAAATTTTAATAAACTTTTTATTATATAGAGGTAATGATTTTGATCAACATCAATGGGATTCAGCAAAAATATATGAAAAATATAATGTACATGAATTATATCATGATAAATCTGAATTGGCTCGCTTGACAAATAATTCCAAAAGAAATCATAAGCTTAATTTTTTTAAATTTAAATAAGTTACATAATTTAATTTAATAGTTCATATATAGTGCTTGGCACAATCAAACAAAAATTTGACAGTCAAATACTTGTTTATACTTATGTTTAAATCAGATGTTAAATGATTGCAGATTAACCAAGGCTAAATATATACTATTAGTTAATCTGCAATTATCTGATGTCTGACTTAATCGCAAGTATTAACAAGTATTTGACTATCAAATTTTTGTTTGATTGCACCGAGCACTATTCATATATTTATTTAGAAAAGCAAAAAAATAAAGGCAAAGAATCTGCCTCAAGGTCTACACTACAAAAAAAAACATAAAAACCAAACATTAAATGAAGATTCTACATCAACTCTAACTATGGTTCCTATAGCTCAAGAACAAGACAATTTTATTGAATGGGAAAACAAGAAACTTGAATTGCAACAAAAAAGCTTGGAAGTTCTTAGAGAAGAAATTTCCTTATGTGAAAAGCTTAATAGTTTAAAAGAATTATAATGATCTCATTTAATAATGAAATGCTTTTTATTCTTAGTACTTTTTTTTAAAAAAAAATTTGATGGTATAAATATGAAATACCATAAATAAAATATATTGCATTTTGAAATAAATATTTCTATCGCTGTAATGTTATAAAGCAAATTTAATTGAACAAAGAATTTATATATCACATGACTCATGGCAAAATATGTATACAATATTGGGCAAAAATTGTCGAATAACGGTAGTTTGGCAAATGAGCACGTGCCGCTTTGCGGCACGTGTAGCCAATCATTTGTCAAATTACCGTATTCGACAATTTGCCCAATATTGGTGTTATCCGGCAATTTATGATCATGATTGGTAGGGAGTCGCTCGCTGAGTTTTATTTTTTGAATATTGGAATAACATAATTATATCGTAACACATGAAAAAAATAACAGGAAGAAATTTTTTCATGATCATATGAGTTTGCCGGATAATGTATCATTATTGTATCTTACAGTACATATTTAGATTGTACGGTAAAATAAAATATAGTACCATACTGTACAGTACAAGGTATGTAACTGTACCATACATAATTCTACATACCGGGTAATTGAGTGTATGAGTGTACAAGTGTATGCCAAAAAAAATTTTATTTATCATTTTTAACCATTTCGAAAACCGCAATAAACTATGCAATGTATTTAAAATATTTTGAATGTATATTATTGTTGGTTTCTGTTTGGTTGAATTTGATTAATTTATGCTATCGCAGCTACGAAGCCTATCCACAACATGAGATCCTTGTGCTGCTATTGCAGTTATGGTACTTTATCACCAAAAATAAGGTACTTGCACTGCCTGCAACAGCCATAGGCCTAAACACAACATGAGGTCCTTGTATTGCTATGGCAGCCACAAAGCCTAATCACAATGTAATGTTCTTGTATTGCTATCACAGTTGCGGAGCATAATTGCCAAACATGAAGTTCTTGTACTGCCTGCGACAGCATAGAGCCTAATGACAACATGAGATCCTTGCATTGCTATCGTTGTTATGTGCTTAATCATAAAACATGAGGCACTTGCATTGCTTGCACTGCGTCAGCCATAGAGACTAATCACAACACGAGAACGTTGCATAACTACCGAAGCCACAAAGCCTAATCAAACTGTGAGATTCTTATACTGCTTTCATGGTTGTGAACTCTATTAGATTTTGTTCAGAGTATTATTTTAAAAAATAAGCATTTTTCATAATAAAAAACCGAACAAAATCTGAATAGAATTTTGATCTTTTTTTATAGGGGGTTCAATCACCAAACACGAGGTTCTTACATAGCCTGCGGCAGCTATAGAGCTAATCACAACACGAGGTCCTTGCATTGCTATCACAGCCATACTCATCTCTAACTCCCTTTAAGCAACTCAAGCGCCTAGTTATTATACTAAAACAGAAAGAATCTCTAAACAATAAAATAGAAATCAAAAGCTAAATTACCTATTAGCATATTAGAATAACAACACTTCAACACTAAATCAACCAGAATATAAATACGTATATATATATATAAACAAACTCCCAGCGCATGAGCAGGCGCATATCTTGTTACGTATTATGTGAAATCGATCTGCGGGACATATTCCCTGACTGCTAGGTGATAAAATAAGTAGCCAATCATAGCGCTTATATCCGATATTAACGTGATTAATTGTTAATCCTCACCTCCCCTCAAAAATTACATAATAAACGGCACTCCCTAACGAAAAAAAACGATTTATTTTGTTGCTTTGATTCATGTTACACCTGATTTTATGACCCGCAGTAGATGCGGCAACATCGCATAAATTGTCTCTTTAAAATATTAATAATAATTTATTAAAATGTCAATTAGATTAATTTGTATGATTTTTGCTCAAACACGAATACTCCGCATGTATTTTATTTATTATGCAAAAAAAAAGAAATAAGATTTTGAAGTTTTAAAAGCAAGTTACTAATTTCATAATATTGAAAACAAATTAATAATCACATTATTTTAAAAGCAAATTACTAATTATATCTAAAGTATCATCATCAATTTGATTGTCACGAAGCTCTAAGAAAGTTAAAGTAATATTCTTGTAAAGAGCCTTCGCTAATGCTATTCCTACATCTAAACCAAATTGATTTTTGCAAAGGCTAAGAGAGGTTAAGGTGTGGTTTTCATAAAGAACTTCTACAAATGAGTTTCCTCCTTCGGAACCGAGTTGGTTTTTACTAAGATCCAAATAAGTTAGAGTAGTGTTCTTACAAAGTGCTTCTGCCAACATTTTTCCTCCTTCAGAACCAAGTTGATTGTGTTGAAGTGTTAAAGAAGTTAGTGTAGTATTTCTACAAAGTGCTCTTGAAAATGCTTTCCCCACTTCAGAATCAAATTGGTTTTTATTAACACACAAAGAAGTTAAAGAATTATTTTCACAAAGAGCTTCAGCCAATGCTTTTCCACCTTCGGGACCAAGTTGATTTTCACTAAGATTCAAATAAGTAAGAGTATTGTTCTTATAAAGAGCTTCCGCTAGTGCTTTACCTCCTTCTGAACCAAGTC